CATTAAAACTGAAGAATACCGCTCTATTAAACATTTGGTATAGTCACGTTAGTCACTACATGGATTTTTCAGTAAACATCACATATGAAGACAAAAGCTCTTTATGTGACAGCAATTAAAATTCGGCTATTTAGAGGATAGTTAATGGAGAGTTACCACTGGTTGTTGGACAAAGTAATAGTAATTATAAGCAGGGGCTTGAGCAACAGGGACTTACTTAATAGAATCCTATCAAAATATTCGGTAACGTTGGCGTTCCAAGAATACGGGATAGAGGCTGTGGTTTGGGTAAAGGTCGCTTTTAATGAAAATGGAGAAAACATATTGAAATCTCTAAAATCCTCTTGGTCTATAATTTGCAAAGTAACTAAGTGATTCTTAGGATACATCCTAAATTATATTCCGAGAATTCAGCCACCAGGACTGCTTAGAAAGTTTTTTTATTAATTAAGTAGATGTTGTGTACATCTGCCATTTTATTTTGATTATTAAATTAACTTTTTGAATATAGATATATAGATATTTATAACTACAAATCTTTACAGAAATAAGTATCAAACGCCCATTAGCAAAAATTAATAACATATATAGTTAATAACACAATATTAAATTCTAAAATATTATCTTATCGATGAGGGAAAATCAGGATGAGGTAACTATTTCCTTAACAACATGGAAAAATAAAAACAAATATAGTCTAGTAATTTTCGTATAGGAAATTGCATAGGATTAAAGATTATACGGATAATTCGATACCATTGCTGTGATTACATATATATTCACCGAAAATTATTCTTTGGGCATTGAATTTTATTTTTAAACTGGTTGTAGCGAATAATATCATAGAGGGTTTTTTTTTTTTTTTTTTTGTAAATAATTGTTTTTTTGCATTTCAAGGAGTAAAATTCTTGCGTCATCAATTACTGTATTCCGTTTATTGTTGTTCTCTAGTGTCGAGAAACTCCCGGGGAAAATAAAAATAAAATAAATTTTCACGAATTTCTATATTTTATTCAATAGCCTCTGGGCATTAGAAAAATGTATGCTGTTTAATGTTACAGATATGCTTGGTCTCAAATAATATTTGTTTAAGATTGAAATTTAATAAGAACATTCTTGAAAAATATGATTGAGAGTGAAGAACTATTGAATTGGTGGTGTATTTTTACTGATCAGATATGAAAGTGTTAAATTTTCAGTTTTGCAATATGTAAAAAGTATGCGAATATTTTAAAATGCAAGTCAACTATCAAAATGAGGACAATTTAAAAAAATAAATAAAACAATTCCTTTCTGTTACTGTGTGAAATGGAGTTTTGCGTTACTCGCTATCTACAAGGAAAAATCCGAATAGCAGAGGTTTGAGATATTCCGAAAGAGAGCAGCACCGGGCGGACGCGTTCTCACTCAATGAAGTGGTTGTTCTTAAAACACGTTACTCATTAATAGAAATAAACTTTCTTTAAGACTTCCATATTGTTCCAAAAGTAAATCATAAAACAAGATATACAATCTTGTACGATACGTCACACAATTTTCAGTTGAAATTATTTTTTATACAGTTAATACATCTTGAGAATATTAAGGTTATAAATTTATTTGTCATAAATTATAAATACTAACATAATTAATACAAATACTTTCATGTTTATATAATATGTATTGTATAATATATATTTTATGATTTCATATTGTTCGTTTTCTTATTAATATTTTATTTATTTTTACACTTTTTTTTTGCTAAACTTCAAATCTATACCTGTAACCTTTTCATGGTGGATCTAAGTTGTATTACTATGGGTGGAAGATTTTTTGTTTTTGTTGGGGATGTGACTGACATGCAAAATACCAGATTTTGACATTACCACCGCAGATCACTTTTGTATAAAAAAAATAAAAAAATGCAATATTTTTGCACTTAGTTCGGTTCTTCCCCTTTTCGACCATAAACAGACTGGTTATAAACATAAAATGTTCTAATTATTTTTATAGTCAATATAATTCATAATAATTTGAAACTAGAACAGAAATAAATAATATAATATAAATATATATCAATATATCCGATATATTTGATCCCTAGGTTCAAATAAAATAAATTTGAGTACTCTGATTGAAATTAAACTCAATGTTATCCCAACACAAAAATTTAGAACTTTTGAACTTGTTGACTAAATGTACAACAATGGCTTTTCACATCTGAATCTTTTAACTATATGAAATAATTTAAATATTTATAAACACATCAGTTTTGACTTATTCCTAACACGTGATAAACCTAATTGGTTATGAAATATATCTTTTCAAAATTTGTTTCATTAACTGAACTTGAAAATTTTAGTTATTATAATTTTCATTTTTTACCATACCATACAGTCAGTAAAATAAACATATATTAATTTTAATAATTTTATGGGGAAGAAAGGGAGAAGGGGAGAGGAGTAGTTACAGGACGACGAATATAACATTGGAAGAGGTGGATGGGCAGATTTGCTTAGTCCTGGAAGATTTGCTCCCTTCGAAGTGGAGGAAACACTTTTCAAATTCAAATTTCGTTCACATTTTTTATATACACTTGATGTAAATGTTTCTTAAAGAAATTTGATATTTCAATTTTGGTCGTCCGGTTGTGAACAAATATAAGATAAATTTCAGTCCTATTTCCTCCTCCAAGACTTGGATATTTGGACTTAAGAAATCTCAAAATGTCAATTTTCATTCAAAATTCAGATTCAAAATTTTTAGCGACCGCATGACATCCACTAACTATATACTTAATATTTAGATACGAAAGTGAAAAAATCTGGTGCGGGCAACACACAACTTTCACTTACCACTCAAATTTGAATAGTAATTACTAAAAAGTTGTAAATTTATCCATGAAATATTTTTATATTTCACACAAATACAATGAAATAATATCTTAAACAATGCCATTGCCTTGAATCTACGGATTTTAAATACTTTCTCAAAATTTAAAAAACATTTAAAGATTTACATTCAGTAAGAAAGTTGCATTTAATTTCCCTGGAAACAAGTTATTATTTTTATTACTTTCTACAACTTTATAGATTTGATATTTGTTTTTCTAAATTTCTTCGCTTCCCAACGATATATTACAAGTATACATTCTGACTTGTATTTCCGGAGATTCATTTTCCACCTAAATAAGTATTTTTATTTTTTTCTATTTTATTTAATCATCAAATTCTTTTAAAAGTTATACTTAGTATTTTTCCATAACTCCTACCAATGACAAATAGTTATTATTTATAATAAACCAAATTAAAGGTACTTTAGAGGAAGATATGATAATGTTGAGATTTCACAAAGGAAAAATTCATCAAATTATTCACTAATTTAATTTTCCAAAAAGTTACATGACAAGTTTTCGGAATAAACTCTCATACCAAATTATTTAAATATAATATCATATCTATAATCACTAAACTACAGTAAATGTATTTAAGGTTATGAAGATATGCTTTATACATCTATGAAATGATTTTATATTTTACTTCTTCTTTCACACAAGTTCAATATAATAGTTTTTTTAACGATGCCATTGCCTTGATTAGGTGGATTTTAAATACTTTAAATCAGTTTTAGAAAAAACATTTAAAAGTTTACATTTAGTTAGTAAATTTCATTAATTTCCTTGAAAACATGTGATTTGCATTAAATATTATTAGTTTTCAAAAATTATTATTTATAATTTTTTCGCCGATCTCCGTTACCTTCTACAACTTTATACATTTGATATTGGTTTTTCTAAAATTCTTAGCTTCCCAACGATGTATTACAAGTGTACATTCTTACTTGTATTTCCGGAGATTCATTCTCGACCTGTATTAGCATTTTTATTTTTATCTCCTTTATTCAATAATAAAATTCTTTCAAAAGTTATATTTGGCATTTTTTAGTAATTTTTAATAATGAGAGATAGTTGATTATTTAAAATAAACCATATTGAAAGTACTTTAGATGAAGACGAATATGGACATTGGGTATTTAAGCCCTGTAAAGTGACATCAACGGGGCTAAGACCTAAATGATATTAAAGACCACTTAATTATACAATGATACGATTTTAATCAAAATCGTTAGAGTCGTTTTTAAAATATTATAAAAATGTGTTTCAGCGTTGATATAGAGTAGCACATCCGGTTAGCTAATTTTAAGGAAAAAGTTGCATACATACATCTAATACATCTAAGGGATATATCTCTCTTAAATATGTAATATCAGTTTCGTACGACTTTTCGGTTTCAATCATGAGTGTTTACATACACACAAACCATTTTCAGACTTGGTTATTTGGACTCAGGAGATCTCATAACGTGTATTTCCGTTAAACTCAGATTCAAATATTTTCACGATCGCAATACTTACACTTACTATGTATTACATATATAGGTAAGTAAAAGTAAGAATAAACTAGCCTTATGACAAACGGTTTTCTGTACAGGTTATAATCAATCCCTGCCAAATTAAAAACAAGCTTTTGTTAAAAAAAAAAAATTCTTATATGATACGATGAATTCTCTTATAATTAAAAATTGCTGGTTTCGAGAAATGGAAATTAAATATGGATTGATTCCTTCTCCATTTGATGTTAACTTTCTAATATTTTTTTAGTTCTTATCTACCCATATACCTATTGTTTAAAACCTGCAGTTAAGTGTACACAGAATGGGGTTTCATGTCTCAAGTTGCGCCACACAATTTTTTGAGGAGAGCATATTTTAGATGGAGTTTTTAATTTTCGAAGGGGGTAGATTTCTACTAGGTTGTGATTTTTCAAAATGAAAAGGTTCAAATAAGTAGAAAAGAGGAAAGCTAAAATACTACCTTAGCTTCCACTAATTTTAAGAAGAGGAGTGAATTAATATATCTTAGATGGAGGGTAGAGAAGTTTTATTATTGACCTTGGGGAGATGGTTATATATCCTTTAGTGTATTATATATTTTTAAATCATATAACTTTGTTTTCTGTACAGGGATTAAGAACATACATGGATGAAGCAAAAAATGGCGTGGTATACATGTCATTAGGCTTGAATCTCGCGGTATCAGATGTATTGCGTGAATCATTCTCGACATTTCTATCCGTATTCAGCAAGCTGGAACAGAGAGTATTAATGAAATGGGAAGCTGACTACGATGGATCTCTCCCACCTAACGTCATCATTATGAAGAAGTTTCCACAACAGGATATACTAGGTGAGGAAAGTAAAAATTAAAAAGATAATTTTATTTCTGAATATAAGAATTTGTCTTGACAATGGCTAATCATTGCTGTTCTATCGATCATGGTACATCTTAAAGGGGATACTTTTGATTGTAAAATGAGACATAATCATTTAAATTATAAACCAAAAATGTAAGAAATGGTTTAAATTATGCTGGAAATATAGAAATTATCCAGGGCATTATGTAATCATTACGGCCGATCAGTAGTGTTGCCCAAAATCGGTCTTGATCTTGCTCTTTGCAAGACCAAGACCAAGGCCGCCTTACTGTTGCAAGACCAAGACCAGGAGTGGTAAAAAAAAATCGATTTTTTAAACAAAAATTAAGTCAAAATAGTTACTAATGCTTGACAATCTTAGTTACTATATGTTAATAATTGGCATAACCAATATACTTTTGCATTTAACTCCTCTAATTTTTTATTAGGGTTTAGCTAGGTTTCTCCTATCTCAAGAATTACAGTAATATCTCTATGTTAATAAGCTAATAAGTAACCGCAAGACTGTTGCGAGAGTCTTGCGCACGGCCAAGACCATGACCAAGACTGAGTTTGCAAGACCACGTGGACCAACTCGTCTCGGTCTCGCATTTGGACAACACTACCGATCAGTTTATCATAACATTTTTATTTAATAAATGTCTTAAATATATTTTTCTAGAAATTGATTATCAATATTGATGGATATTCTCAGAATGTTATATAGAAACTATATATCCTCTCTCCTACCGAGAGAGGAAGAAAAAACACTAGAAATTTAAAATGTTTTAACTTTATATAAAACTTTGTACCATTAATTAAATAATTTAAGATATTTATTTATTGAATTTACCTCTTTCTGATAGGGTCATTGTCAATCCTTTTTTCACTTAGTTGTTTTATATTCTTTCTTAAAATTTGGTTATTTTCAAGACGTGCATCGGGATTTCCACATCTCTTTCTGTACCCTGTAACATGTCTTGGATACTTGAGTGCATTTTGATGTTCTTTCTTATGGCCAGATAATATATAAAGTCGAATAGGTGTTTCATTGTTATAGCAGAGTGGTTAGCGCGCTATACTAGTAAAGCAAAGATCATAGGATCGAATCCCGGCACTACTTCTCACTTCGGCTGGTTCCCGCAGAATGTTAGACCTTATCCTATTTTAAGTTTTAAGCCTAGTATGAACAGGCCGTTAAAAAAAAAAAAAAAAAATAGTTTGGTAAAGAGTGGATCATATGTGAATTCAAAACATTTTTGCCAAAGTATTAATCCAAATATTTAGTACCAAATTTCTCGTGGTTCGGACAATTGGAAAATATTCTTGTCCATAGAAGCCCAAGCAACAATAATTAACATCATCAAGCCACGATGCAAAACCAAGGACTATTTATATATTTTTTAACAACCTCTCTTTAAGACTCTTTCACCCAAAATGTAGCAAATATTTCTAAAAAATCAGTAGGATCTTTTATAAAGAGAAAGTACTGGAGTTTAATTTTTGCTTAATGGCTGTTTTTGGATGACTCGATATTTGCCGAAATATCTTAAGAGATCCTTAGTGTGCTGTAAAGGATATTTTAATGATCATTTATGCCATGTTTTAAACTCCTGTTTTGGAATATACAAACGATATAACATTGTGGATGGACGGATGTTAAAACTGATAGTGTATGAGTGTGCAATTTTTCGGTCATTTATACCGAAGGCTCAGATAGATGAGAAAACTGATTATGTTCTGCTGAAGGCTGATCATACGCTGTTGATCTTGGATGGCGTTTGATGAATAGAAGTATTAAAGTAGCGATTGAGGATATCATCATTATACCTTCGGGTTCACTAAGCTCTTTTTATCATTATTAATAATTTTTATTTCTTGAACACGTATATTTTTTTTATTGAACATAAGAAAGAAACATAATTTTTGTTCATTTATTAATAACTGTTTCAGCTCACAAGAACTGCATACTTTTTATAACACATGGTGGTTACATGAGCCTTGTGGAAACTGTTTATCACGGGGTGCCTATAGTAGGGATTCCTTTCTACGGAGATCAACCTAAAAACATTATATGGGCTCAGAAAGTCGGTATTGGTGTTCATCTCTCCCTAAAGAACTTGACTGAAGCTTCTATCGATTGGGCCATAAAAGAAATATTACAGAATAACAGGTGAGAGTTAAATTATGTAATCTGTGTCATTTAAATAACCTGGCATATATGTTATACCGTTATATTGTGGCACTGCGGGAGAGAGTTGAAACACTGGCAGTTTTTCATCTGCCTCCCGCAGTGCCATATCCAACGCCTTGATGAAGACCTACAAGGTGGGTCGAAACGTCGGCATAATAATTATATAATACTATTTCTACAATTTAATATTTATTTGACTGCATCTCCCGATCAACTCCTTCTCATATTATATCACGGTCAACCATCTCTACATCGTTATAGATGCGACAACGTTAACGAAAGCCGGTTAGGAACTAGAACTTTAAATAAACACGGGTAAGAAAAAATGTATGAATATAATGGTAATATTATAATTATTATAATATAATTATTATATAATAATGGTGACATTGCTGATGATATCAATATAGATGGCAATATGTTTGAACAGGTAGAGAAGTTTCTAGGATTGAACGGTAACTAGAAAAAACGAAATTTAAGAGTAGATGTAGGTTAGACTGAAGGCGGGAAATGCTTATTATTTTTCTATGACCAAACTACTTAGCTCGCGATTTTCTATTGTCCCGGAACTTAAAAATTATCATCTATAAAACCATTATCTTACCAACAGTTCTTTATGGATACAAAACGTGGCCGCTTACATTAGGGGATGAGCAACGCGTTAAAGTTTTTGAAAATAATGTATTCTATAGAATATTCGGACCGAAGAAGGATGAGTTAACCGGAGAGTTCAGACGGTTGCAGAACGCCAAATTGTGTATTTTTTGGGTAATTTATTTTGTGCATTTAAAATACAAAGCCAAAAATACTGTTTTTGTATTTCGTAATTTAAAAAAATTATTGATCAAAAATGTTAATGATATTATATTATATTATATAATATTAAAGTATTAATTAATTTAAAATGATAAATTTGAAAAACGTATTTTATTTGAAATACTACTCAGGTTTGATCCAATTCTTCAATTGCAGTTGGCGTGGTGATTGAACTGCTAAATAAACAACTAGCTACACGGTGGGACTTTTCCCATTCGATAATAGGTATCGAAACGTAAATTCTGTAAAAAAACAAATTGCTTGCTTATATTATCAGTGATATATTTTATCGTATATTAAGTTTATACGATTTTCTTTATATATATATATAAAGAAATGTATATATTATATTAATTATAATTCTTTATATATATATTAATAAATGCTTTGGCGAACGCATTTATTTTCTGAGCCTTGCGGATCAATTACCTCTTAAATTTTATTGATTTTGCCTCGATTAAATAAGTCGTCGAATCGTTTAAAAGGCTGACCAATATTCAAAGAAGGGATTAGTTAAGTTTCTTCACCGCAAGCACTCAAATTTTATTGTATTGTACAACCAAAAACTATGTTAAAAGACTAATTTAACACATTCTTGCCATTTCGGTTTAATTTTTGTCACTGCCAGTTCGATATAATTTCTTAATTCAGCAAAAGAGCGATTTTTCCCGACTCGAATCGTTGCTAAATAACATTAATTATAGACTATATTATAGTCGGATTTTTCCAAATACCAGACTATTTAATAGACTATTTTTCCTTATATTTTTCCTTTAATTTAATAGACTATTTTTACAAATAAAATAAAATAATTTCTCAAAAGGCAGATAAAGGCAACCAACTCTTTCAGTTATCTTTAATATACCTACTAAGCTATATCTCAGAAAACTTTCACAGGGGTATTTTCGGGTATATTTTGGTAAATTACTTATGAAGTTATAAAATTACTTTATTTTAGAGCATGTAGAAATAAATTAGTTAACAGATCAAATTATAAATTTATGAATGATTTACTTAAATATTAGGCATCTATGTCTATCAAATAAAAATTATTTAAAAAAAAAATTGTGGTACTAAGTTCAAATGAAGGATAAGACAACAATTAAACAAAATATGAACCATCAAATCAGTAGTTGTTAAGAGGGCTGTATTTATCGTTTGGAACCGCTAAAATCAAAACCAAATGATTACCTACAAATTAAACATTTCTCTTTTATCTCATTAGGTCGGATTTAAAAATATTCACTATTATTTTTTTCCACCAGAGTGCTCATTCGTCCCAATGTTCAGCGGATCAGTTGTCTTCTTAGTGGATCATATGGATTCGTGGCAGTAAATAGAACTTGAGTAAATGGTTTAAACTTTAGTCTGTTATGAAAATTAATAAAACGGTCTGTGACAGTTGCCATGATAAAAAGAATGCCAAGGTCAGTGTTTAACTCAACATTGTAAACATAAAAGGGTACCTCTACGATTTTCCATAGGACTTTGATTGGAATGATCGAATTCTTTTTTATATTTTATGTCTTTTCTGTACTCCATAACTCGATACCATATATCCAAAGTGGTTTAATGAGGACTGTGTTTGTAGTTAATTTATTAGCCACCTATAATTTAGAACGTCTGTCAAGTAGTCCAACGCTGATTAGGTTGTTTTTTTTGTTTTTTTTTTTGTAATTTCTGTCAGTCGTATGACTGTAAATAATACTACAATTATTACTATTACAAATGAATTATTACCGCACGATGTAAGAATCCATTGTTCAAACTTGGTTTTTCTCGTACGTAATTTATTTCCGGCCATTAACCGGCTGAGGAGTTAATATAGGAGGGGAAGAGATAGGAGACCCAAGCCACACAAACACCATTTCCTCTGCTATGTTTTAGCCGCTCTGATGTTGGCCCAAGGATATGGCATGCTGCCCACTGAGCACAGCTATAATATATGTGCTTCATTCCTTTCGGCTACCTCTCTAGGCCATAATACGAATAACATTTATGACTTTTAGCATCCTTAATTTGGCCGTTGAATTTTGTAGAGCACCGATGGCAAAGAACTGTGATGGATGATTTTATAATCGATCACTGAAAAGACTGAACTAGCATTCGCCCATTAAATAATATACAGGGATGGAAAAAAGTATTTGCACAACATGTTTTTATGAATAAAGTAGTTCAAGGAAAGAAAAAACTTCGCTTTCCTTTGCAAAAATGAAAAGTAAATTTATTAAAAACTGAAAAAACCTTTTTACAAAAAAATAAAAACAATTCACAATCAAACAAAATGATTAAAACAATAAAAGTGCTTGGATCAAGTATTTGCACACTTCCACATTTATAAGTTTATTTTAAATTTTAATAGTTTTAATATTTTGTAAATAGACTATTTGCGTCAATAATTGCTTGTAGACGTCTGGGCATTGAATGCACTAGGTTTCTAATTAAATCTACGTTTATTTGTTCTCATTCTTGAACAAGAAGTTGTTTAAGGTAATATCCACTAGTGATATGGCGTTTTCTTACATTTTGGTCAATGGTTTGCCATAAATTTTCAATCATATTTATATATGATGACTGGGGAGGAGTGCGAAGCTGTCTTGGAACATTAATAATTAACCACTCCTTTGTTCTCCTCCCAGTATGTTTTGAATCGTTGTCCTGCTGGAAATAGTACTGACCCTGGATTCCCATTTTTTTGGCACTAACACGCAAATTACGTCGCAAAATGTTCACATAGCCTTCCGCTTTTAAAATGCCTTCGATGCTCACATTATTTTCCACACCATGGTAGATAACACACCTCCAAACCATAACATGTCCTCAACCATGCTTTACAGTTGTTGAAACATTTTGCTTCTTTAGGGCTTCATTACGATGTCGCCATATTGTCCTTCAACCATCTGAACCAATTAAATTAAATTTGTTTTCGTCAGAAAAGATGCCATTTTCCCAAAAGCTTAAGGGTTTCTGTACATACTCCCTAGCAAAAGCAAGGCGCTTTTTGCGATTCGTTTCACTGATGTATGGCATCTTTCATGGAACTCTACCATGGAGACCTTCCGAATTCAGGGCATATCTAATTGCTCTGCTAGTAATCTGAACTCCAGGCGTTGATTGGACCGTGGTAGCCAGCTCCCGAGAACTTATCAGAGGATTTTTAAGAGCTTCTTTTCTGATTTTCCTCTTCAGCCTGGGAGTTAACTTTTTTGGACGCCCTTTACGATCACTGTTTTCAGTTGAACCACGTTCTTCATACCTTTTTATCTCACTGTAATAAAATTCAACCCTAAGAAATCGGCAAATTGGTGATATGTTTTTTGCTGACTCCTCAGTAATAACAATTTTTTCGTGAGTTGCAGCACACAGTTCACTTTTCTTCGGCATGATAATTGTCTATTGAATAAAGGAAACTGATTTAAAGACTAGAGAATACTGGTAATAAACGATTAGAGATAAATTACTAAACAAACCTATGACCTATGGACACAGGAGGATTAATGCTAAAGTAAACAAAGCTTGTGAGTCATAGTGTGCAGATACTTTTTTCCAAGCACTTTTATTGTTTTAATTTTTTTGTTTCATTATGGAGTGTTGTCATTTTTTTTCCAAAACGTTTCTCTCAGTTTTTAACATATGTACTTTTCATTTTTGCAGAGGAAAGCGAAGTTTTTTTGTTCCTTGAACTCATTTATTCATAAAAACATGATGTGCAAATACTTTTTTCCATCACTGTATAAAAATAAAAATCTGGTGTGGTGAGATGACTCTTATTCTCAGGGTCTCCCTAAGCAAAGGAAAATATTTAATGACATAATAGCAGATATCAAGAGCTATAAACATGTTCCTATAAACCATGGTCTGAATTTGCTCGGAAAAGCAAGAGATTGAAGTTATGTGTTTTTTGTTGTTTTTGAAGTCCATATATCTACTAATTGTTAGAATTATTTTCATGAAAACATAAGTATTAGTTAGATAAAATTTGTTAAGTCACTTATGCTTATATTATTTTACCTTATTTCTGTTTTTCTTTTCAATTTTTTTTTAAATTGTGTTTACTTTCATACTTTACTTTCATTGAAGATACTGTATATATTCTTTAATGTTGATTAATGTAATTTTTGGCCCGGTGTGGTTTTTATTTTTTTGTTCATAATTGTTATTCATAAGGGACCTCGTCTCAGAATTAAGTTTATTTTCTATCTATGAATCTATCTATCTATCTATAAATATGGATCAATTCCTATAACAGACATCTGTGTATAAAATACAGTTTAGATGATAACAATTGCAATTCATAAAAAAAAAAAAAACACCATAGTACGTGGACTAACAAAAATGTACATACTGACATTCACCTTCCAACAATTGACAAACATATAACGACCCTTTACCAATGATTTTATACTAATTTAAACGATCATCACAACAGATTAAAGAGAGACATGGCCACAGCTGAGACATACCCCAGAACATGAGTAGGAGACTAAAAAAGCGTTGGGTGAGAGATCTCCTTCCTTAAACAATCTAAGTAGTTGAAACAAGTCGAGGTGATGCTGGGCACTCTCCTTCCCCATACCTAACTTGTCATATTATCTTGTGTTTCAAGCACATATGTTGATTGTTAACAAAAAGTTGACAGGCTCGAATAAATTTTTATATTCAAAATATGATAAATATTTGAAAAATTATTATTTGTAATATATGTTTTTTTTTTTTTTTTTATAAATGAAAAACTTCTTTTCGTGCGCAGTTACAGAGAAAGGATGCTTCAGAGGTCGCGGATGGTGAAAGATCGGAGGCACAGCGCGTTGGACGAAGCCGTGTACTGGATTGAACATGCTATTAAATATCCGAACGTTTTGACTCCAGCTTCGGCTTATATGACCTTCCTGGAACTTCATATGTTGGATCTGGCGTTCATAATCCTAGTTCTCCTGATAGTTACTGTCACCATTATACTTTCTTTGTACAAGACGTTCGCGAGGACAAGTTTCTTAAGCGAGAAGAAGAAAATTAAAGCACAGTGAGTGAAGTCGTCTTCTGTAGAAAATTAGGAAGTAGATGATGCTGATTGACAACATATATGGTATAAAAAAAGTATGCGAACACAATTAGATCATGAAAATGAAAAAAATTTGTTGATCTGATGCTTCTCCATCCAACTGGATTAACTTATTTATACAATTTAATAATAATAAATACAGAAATAAATGTAAGTAGAAATATGTATCATTAGTTTTAAGTATTATAAAAATGTCTGTTAATAAACGTATTTATTTCTTTTCTTTTTTATATCCTTTACATTTTCTTTTTATAATTCTGATGCGCATGTGAAGGTGCATAATGAAGGTGCAGTGAAGTCGTCTTCTGTAGAAACTTGGGAAGTAGATGATGGTATTTCACAACATTTGTATAAAATTAAATTAAATTGTTCCTGCAGGTAAAAAAAAAAGTTGAGGATCCCTGCTCTACAACATAATTGGTTGAGGAAACAACGGGAAGGAACTGTAAACTGTAGCAATCCTCTGGACCTCTGGAGAATTCATATACAGTTTGATAATTCTTAACTTTCTTTTTTGGAAGATAACTGATGTGGTTTCGCACATCCTGAAAATCTGTAGCTCCAAAGTAAAAGCAAACGTTATAACGGTCTTGGCCATCAATAAGACTACTACGTTAGTATCCGCACCAATACTAGTAAAATATTATATCACATGACTTCACACCCGTGCCTACGAGGTCAGCATCGCTGAAGATTTTATCCTACGTGTCTGTAATCTGACCTTAAGAATAATAATTGAGGCTCCCTGCGTAAATAATAATTACTTATCTCTATATTGACATATACATCAGCTGACTCGCTGAACCGGTAGTACGGCCTTTGATGATTAGCAACATTGGTACTTGATGAGGGATTTATTAAAGCTGTAAGTTCTGAAAACCGATATTCCGTATCTTGGCCGAGTTCTAAGTTTGGCACTTGTATAAATATCACAAATTTCTTTTAAAATTAAATTTGTTTTATATTTTAACAATACTAGTTTTTTAAGCATTGACAATTTATGTTCATAACATATGGTAAAGATCTTACAGATAATGTGATATGAAACCAATACAAATTAAGGAATATTTAAAATTTAATTTTTTTTTTATCAGATCTGGCCCAATCCAGATACCTATCCTTCCATAATAAACTTCAGAATCATCCCAACCCTCTCGTTTCTAACCTTGCTTCCTCTTCAATTCCTGATAACCCTCCGAGACTTCTGAAAAGAAGATGGCCCCGTGATCTCCTAATGTAGTCATATCATTAGAGTGCTACCATTGGGTAGTTACTCAGCAAGTGTATTCATGTCATTATATCAATTATGTCCAAATTTACTTGATGTATTTATGTAATACAGTTGTAAATGTCATAAAGAAATATGTTTTTTTCAGTATTTTCAGCTCAAATTGTTCCAAAACATTCAGAGGATCTGACCGATTAATTTGAGTCATTAGGCCGAGCAAATACGTTCCGGTATACCGGTGAGGTTTAACTGTACAGATAAACTGAAGCGTGTGTGCCAGCGTTGGAGACCTGTACAGCCAACCGGAGAAGATTCGAGATTTATTACTTTTTAAATGCACAGGCCTGTAGACCTGAACATATGTGTGAGTCCGGTATACCTGTACAGTTTTTAGGTTAATTATACAGTATTTAATCATGTAAACTTTCTGGACTGAGTTTAAACTTCCCGGTTTACCGTAACGTATGTGTGCTCTAGCCTGCACAGGTATACGTTTACGGTTTACCTGAGAAAGATTACCTGACAGGTTTACCAGATAGGTATTCGTTCAAAAAATCGTTACATAATTTTTAGCAAATCGATTAAACATATTTGATGCAATCAGAAGACAGTGTTTTTAGCTCAAATTGTTTCGAAATACTTATGTGATCGCCAATAAAAATTTGTTCCATCAGACTTAAAAATAGATTACATTAAAAAATCGTTACTTAACTTTTAGCAAGCAATCCGTAAACATAACCCTCGTGCCGCTTTTCTTAGTCGAGTAAAAGATAGCGTACGCCTAAGAAAAATTAAATTAATCGAAATATCTTAATGAGTGATAAATAAAGGACGCAGTCATTATAAGGTTTTTATTAGTGCCGACGTTTCGACCCAAATTAGTGGGTCATCATCGGTGTGAAGTTCGAGCACTGGAGATATTCAAGTACTCACTAACAATTGTTTAAATATCTTCAGTACTGAAACCACGTCCTGATGATGACTTACACGTTTGGGTTGAAACGTCGGCACTAATAAAAACCTTATAATGACTGCGTTCTAAATATATATCACCCATGTTATGTGGAACGGTCCACTTCCTTCGAAATATTTCATAATGCGAAATATATGATGCCATTTGCGCCTTAATATTCAAATAATTATGTTATAGCCAAACATGCAAAAATGTACAACATATAAATTGGCCAAATGATTTATAGTGACTTGTTTCATAATAATATCGAATCATATTATTAAAAAAATGGATATAAAATATGCATTTGCATATCATTCTTGGCCACAGTCCTATGTTGATTCAACATAAGAGAAAACTAGATATATATTTTAAAAATCACGATTTGCAAACTAACTTAACTTTAATGCCAAACACTTCAATTATGTCGATTTAACGCCAGTTATCTCTGTGCCAATATTATTTATTTATTCTGTTACGTAATTTTTTTTTAATATATGTGATGCAATAGTTTGGCCCCACCATCCTATTCTAAGAATTCCAGTTCCTTCAGTATAGGGAATGCTTTGGACGTAGACGGTATGCATCTTTTTGTAAATTTTATGTTTCCGTTATTGTTCATTAGCATCGTGTCTTCGTACAAAATATTGGCGTTCCTTCCATCCAATGTAAAAACTCACCATTTTATACATAGGCCGATACTGGAAGCACTAGCTGACGTTGGGCATAATGTAACCTACGTCACACCAATAGCACCATCAGAACCACATCCGAAGATAAGATATATTCTCATCGATGGCTGCTGTGCAGGATTCAGTTAATTTTTATTATATAAATGTATACTTTTTACTTTTTAAAAAGCGTTGCTGATACAAAGGGCGAACTCAATATTATATATTGATAAACACAAATATTTTAAAAAAGCATTTGAAGTATAATTTCAAGAAAAAAGAGGTTTTACCGATATGGAAAAAAAAAGTCAAATATCTAGTTCGCTCTTCGTATTAAAGACGCGCATGTATGTTCTCGTTCATGTTTAAAATACCGTATTTTTTTTTCATTATCTCATTGTAATTTAAATTAAAATAACTCAAAATATTAATTCAATGAAACCAATTGAATAATGTCAATATAAAATCTTGTCTGAACCATAAAAACTAAATCCTCACGGGAAGTTTTACAATTCCTTCTTCTTATACAATATCTTCCCCAAATTTTTAAACCTTTTTTTTAATGTGATTTTAAATTATTTTTTATGTATATAATTTAAAATCACATTAAAAAAAGTTCATATAAACAATGGACCAATTTTCAGCAATAAGTAAGTGAATCGTGTTTTTTATTGAATCTAATAATAATTGAATTATTTATCGACAGTAATAACTAAAGAAATATTTTATTTAAGTAATTAATAATTACTTCATTGTAAACAAGATGAACTTTACTTTAAATGAACATAGAGTTTATCATTGTTAAAAAAATTTACAGAGGACTTATAAGTGGCTGAACTAAGCTACGTTCTGTTTTTAGAAAAATCATAAATTCGTTCGCCTTTTTTTTTTTGTAATCACCTAACCATACTACAGTTTCTCCACTTTTAAAAAAAAATTCTTCGTTTAATAAGGTTCAAGCTCATATTAATGATCCTAATATTAACGTTTTAATTGAAATAATTAAAGCAATCATCATGATTTTTTTATTGTAAACATACATTTTAGGACTAGAAACTTTTATTTTGTCACACAATAATACTGATCAATTCCAATAATAGAAATCTAGGTGAAACACGCAGTTTATAATCAATTTGCCTGAAAAATAGTTGAAAATTCAGTTTTCTAGTGTTGCCCAAATGCGAGACCGAGATGAGTCTTGGTCATGGTCTTGGTCTTGTGCAAGACTCTAGCAACAGTCTTGTCGTTACTTATTAGCTTATTACTATAGAGATATTACTGTAATTCTTGAGATAAGAGAAAGCTAACTAAGCCCTAATGACAAATTAGAGGAGTTAAATGCAAAAGTATATTGGTTATACCAATTATTAACATATAGTAACTAAGATTGCCAAGCATTAGTAACTATTTTGACTTAATTTTTATTTAAAAAATCGATTTTTTTTTACCAGTCCTGGTCTTGGTCTTGCAACAGTAAGGCGGCCTTGGTCTTGGTCTTTCAAAGAGCAAGACCAAGACCGATTTTGGGCAACACTAGTTTTTTCGAATTATAGACATTTTTAGAGGGACGTTTTCATAGGAGTGATATCAAACTACAAGAGCTACAAAAAAAATCAAATATACAATCGACCAATTTTCATCAGAAAAGTAAGAAATTCAAGTTTTGTGCTGGTTTTTTTTTCTTTAGTTAGTTATGTCTTTTGTTTTATACGGTCATAACTAAAGAAATATTGAGTTTAAGTAAATAACAATTGCTTCACTCTAAACTAGACAAAATTTGCTTCAGTATAAAATGGAGGTTGTCATTGTAAAAATCCTTTAAAGAAGACTTTCGAGCAGTTGAACTAAGCTTAGATCTGTTTTTTAAAAAAATCGTTAATTATTCGGGATTTTTTTTGTTATTATCATCTGAATCTACTACAGATACCTCATTTATAAAAAAACTTTTTCGCTTAATAAGCTTTAAATTTGTATTAAATAAGTTGAGGTTTATCAGGAAAAATTTTCAGATTCACCTCAAATTGTGTAAATAGATGGTGTTACTTTTTATTCTGTCAAGTATAATTAAGTGACGCAGTTTTCTGCAAAAATGACTACAATTAATTGCTGTAAAACTATTATTTCTCGTTTTATCATTATCCAGGATGCTTTATGGTAAATACAATTGCCTAAATACACCCTTTATTTATAAGATAAATAAATTGTAAAAAATACTGAGTTTTCATGCAAAGTGCTTATGAACCTGTGCTTTTCATCCAAATTTATAATATAGAAATTTATTCGTACTAATAAGGTACAAACTAAATGTTCCTGATACCAATATTAACTTTTTCATGAAAATAATTGAAGAAATTCGCAAGTTTTTTTAAATATAAATTTTAAGACTTCAAAAATTTATTTCATCCCTTATAAATACGCACAAACTTCTATGATACATGTCTGAATGAAAAACACAATATCATAAACAATTTACATAAAAATTATTTGACAAATCATTTTTTTTTTAAGTTTTGGTTTTTGAAAATATAAAGTATATATAGGCAGTTTTGTTTATTATAGTATATCCCAGATCATGAAAAAATAAGTAATAAAAGCTTTGCAAAATTTATTTTGGTAATTATTACTGAAAAAAATGTTAAATACAGTACTTTTAGGTGACTGGTTAAAAAATCATATCGTTTTTTTTTACAAAACTTGAATTGAGTGAATCTCAACTTTGTACCCAATAAACCTCAACTTAATCAATATTGACTTGAAGCTTATTAAACGAGATATTTTTTCTAAAATTGGGTAAATGTAGTATAGTTGGATTATGATAATGTATGATTTTTTTAAAAACTAAACTTAGCCGTGTTCGTCCGCTCAATAGTCCTCTTAAAATAGTTTTAAAAATAACAAATTCCATTTTCGTATGAAATAAATATTGTCTTGTCTGCTGTGAAGCGATTGGTTATTACTTAACTTAAACATTTCTTTAGTTATTCCTTCCTATCCCACAAAAAACGTGACAAATAAATCTTTTGTTTTTTAATAGGAAGTGAAAACTAAAAAAAAATTTATTGAATTAAAGTAATAAAAAATTAATTTACAGTAGACTAGACGAAATTTACAACGAAGGTAGATTTTGTCATCGTTTTAACCATTTAAAAATGACTTTTGAGTGGACTTTTTTATTTGCATATAGATTTTTATATATTGCTCAAGTTTCAGAAAAATCTCATTTAAAAAAAAAATATTACTTAATAAGTTTTACGTCCATATTAACTGAGTTGAGGTTAATTACAAAATAAGTTGAGATTAAGAGTTTTAGTTTTTATAGCTCACTTTTTTAAAAAAATCCTTCAACTTACGGGACATCCTGTATTTATAGGATGTTCCGTAAGTAGAGGAAAATATTTAAAATGTTGATAGTAGACATCAAGATCTACAAAAAAGTACATATAAACAATTGCCCAATGCCCAAAAGTAAAGTGGGAAATTTAAGATTTTTTTTTTTTACGAATCACGTTTTTGTTTTAATAGGAAGCGATAAACATTTGATTAAAGGAAATTAACATTGCATCATAGTAAACAAGATATACTTTGCTTTAAACAGAAGTAGTTTTCGTCATTGTTAAAATTATTTTTAAAATACTATTAATCGGATGAGCATGGCTAAGTTCCGATTTCTCCGTGATTTTTTTTTTTTATTATCCTTTAACTGTTCTACACTAACCCCGCTTTTAGAAAAACTTCCTTGCAAGCTTCCTTTTGTAAGCTTCAAGTCCATATTATTTAAATTGAGATTTGTTAAGAGAAAATTTGAGATTCACCTCAAATTGTGGAAAGAAATTAATTGATTTTTTAGTGTTGACCAAAATCGGTCACGTTCTTGCACTTTGCTAGACCAAGACCAACTTTTGCAAGACCGAGAACAACACTTGTTACAAAAAAATAGATTTTTTGAATAAAAATTATGGCAAAATAGTTACTAATATTTGACAATTTTAGTTATTATATGTAAAGAATTCGTATAACCAATATACCTTTGCATTTAACTCTTCTAATTTTTCATTCGGGCTTAGTTAAGTTTCTCATATCTAAAATACTGCAGTAATATATCTATTGTAATAAGCTAATAGGTAATTGGGGCAACACTATGATTTTATTTCCAGTCCCCTAAAAGTACCCTTATTTTCAGAATAAAATGACAATAATTAACGGTTGCAAAGCTTTTATTTGTAGTTTTTCTTTGATATGGTATGTATTGTAGTAAACTTAATTTCCTAAAAATACATTTTATTTATACAACTCAAAAATTTAAAAATAATTATGTTTCAAATATTTTTCATACTGTTGAGAAACTGTGTTTTTCTCCCAGATCTCTGTCATAGTAATTGATATGTATTTATCAGTGACAAACTTAATGTTTCTTTCTTAAAATCTATTACTAAAATAAAGAAACCTATGATCGCTTCAATCATTTTCATAAAAACGTAAATATTAGGGAAAGAAACATTAAATTTGCCACTTATAAATACGCATCAATTTAGTTTTCTAATTTATTTTTATATAGATTTAATAATCATTAGTTATTTATATTTTAATTGTAAAAATATCTTTATTTACTTTTAAATTTTTGATATTTTATTTGATTCCTATGATTCGGAAAGTTAGCATGAGAAGTAAAAAAAAAGTTATCAATGCCAAGTTATTGGAAGTTTTAAATTCACCACAAGACTGAAAACAAGTTTAAAGATTATATTTTATTAATAATTAGCTTTTTTTAACAAACAGAAAAACGTTTTAAGATATATACACGGTGGGCCAGACCCCCTTACCGTGCACCCCCCCCCCCACATCCCTATAAATTGCATATCGTTGTGTTCCTTGTGACAATTTATTAAAAAAAAGCCAATGTTCCCACAAAACAAAGTGAACGAACTGCCCCAAAATGGCGTCCAAACATGGCGGATTGACGACTTTGACTTTAGTTAGTTTTTTTGTTACTGAGAATCAGCATTTGGCTTAATTTCATTATAGTTGGTCTTTTATTAAAGCTGGATAGTCAGAAAATAATAAAACATGAAAAAATATTAAAAACTAATTGGCTTAGGCATTAAAAAAAATCGGTAAAGTCAATTTTTTTTTACAAAAAAAATTTCAAGTTGAAAATCAAGCGTCGTTTGTAATTAAACGGTCAACAATAATGCAAAACGTGCTGAAATAAAACATCTGGAGAATTCATTTCTCTTTCTAAAACATTGATTACTTTTTAAAATATTTAAAGTAGTTCCGTATAAAATGTACTTAAACGGCAGAAAAGCGCTACTGGCGTGGGTGCCTACAGGCCTCTACCACACCACTCAGTACTCATAAATGGCTTAGTTATAGTGCTATAATAACGTTTTTGTTATATTTTATTGATTATATTAACGAACAAATATTAATACAATAATTTAATTGTAAAAAATTATTTTTTTTTAAATTTATTATTTTTGTTTTTATTTTTCATTATTTTTTTTTTTTAATTTAACTTCATTTATTCTATACGGAGATCGCTTAAGAAGGCCTCTATTATAAAAATTATAAAATTATAATAATAAAACTTAATTCAAAAATACTTTGCAGAATATCTTGATTTTTTTTATTTAATATTTGCAATTTAACATTTTGTTTTATATATTTACTGATTCTTAGAGGTAATTTAAATTGTATATCCTTCCCCGGAAATGAGTCATATTAATATATGTTTTATAAACTAAAATAATATATACCTAATCTGAACTGCTTTTAATGAATAGGTGATGGATTGCTTAGTAAAATTGTTATATCGCTATTAAAAAAACCATTTGTATTTCCTTTATTTTATTCGAAAGTTGGACCATATCATAATAAATAGGAACTTTTAATATTAAAGTGCATTATTCCCTCTGCACAAAAGAAATATGGAAAGGGCGAAGCTATAAGTTCTTCTAGGTAACTGGAACTGATTGTTAGTATTTGGTCTCAAAATGAGGGTAAACCCCGAAATTGAACCCAAAAATTGGAAAAATACATTAAGCGAACGACGAAGGAAGTGCAAAAATTACGGAAAAGAAAACAAGGATCAGTATCCATTATATGGCTAAACGAATATATAGTAGACAGATGAACAGAATATTTCAACATTCTGCTAAATGGGGGTAAAAATGCTTGATCAGTTTGGATGATATTAAGCTGGTTTATTAATTAAAATTAGAAATATTGTCGATTGCCTGAGCGATATGGATTGAGAAACTCAAGTTGCACATTGGAGCATAAGTTGCAAATATCATCCAAACTGATCAAGCATTTTTACCCCCATTTAGCAGAATGTTGAAATATTCTGTTCATCTGTCTACTATATATTCGTTTAGCCATATAATGGATACTGATCCTTGTTTTCTTTTCCGTAATTTTTGCACTTCCTTCGTCGTTCGCTTAATGTATTTTTCCAATTTTTGGGTTCAATTTCGGGGTTTACCCTCATTTTGAGACCAAATACTAACAATCAGTTCCAGTTACCTAGAAGAACTTATAGCTTCGCCCTTTCCATATTTCTTTTGTGCAGAGGGAATAATGCACTTTAATATTAAAAGTTCCTATTTTTTATGATATGGTCCAACTTTCGAATAAAATAAAGGAAATACAAATGGTTTTTTTAATAGCGATATAACAATTTTACTAAGCAATCCATCACCTATTCATTAAAAGCAGTTCAGATTAGGTATATATTATTTTAGTTTATAAAACATATATTAATATGACTCATTTCCGGGGAAGGATATACAATTTAAATTACCTCTAAGAATCAGTAAATATATAAAACAAAATGTTAAATTGCAAATATTAAATAAAAAAAATCAAGATATTCTGCAAAGTATTTTTGAATTAAGTTTTATTATTATAATTTTATAATTTTTATAATAGAGGCCTTCTTAAGCGATCTCCGTATAGAATAAATGAAGTTAAATTAAAAAAAAAAATAATGAAAAATAAAAACAAAAATAATAAATTTAAAAAAAAATAATTTTTTACAATTAAATTATTGTATTAATATTTGTTCGTTAATATAATCAATAAAATATAACAAAAACGTTATTATAGCACTATAACTAAGCCATTTATGAGTACTGAGTGGTGTGGTAGAGGCCTGTAGGCACCCACGCCAGTAGCGCTTTTCTGCCGCTTAAGTACATTTTATACGGAACTACTTCAAATATTTTAAAAAGTAATCAGTGTTTTAGAAAGAGAAATGTATTCTCCAGATGTTTTATTTCAGCACGTTTTGCATTATTGTTGACCGTTTAATTACAAACGACGCTTGATTTTTAACTTGAAATTTTTTTTGTAAAAAAAATTGACTTTACCGATTTTTTTTAATGCCTAAGCCAATTAGTTTTTAATATTTTTTCATGTTTTATTATTTTCTGACTATCCAGCTTTAATAAAAGACCAACTATAATGAAATTAAGCCAAATGCTGATTCTCAGTAACAAAAAAACTAACTAAAGTCAAAGTCGTCAATCCGCCATGTTTGGACGCCATTTTGGGGCAGTTCGTTCACTTTGTTTTTGTGGGAACATTGGCTTTTTTTTAATAAATTGTCACAAGGAACACAACGATATGCAATTTATAGGGATGTGGGGGGGGGTGCACGGTAAGGGGGTCTGGCCCACAGACTAATAGTAAAAATTTTCTTTTTTCTTTGTGAAAAAGCTGCTTCTTCAGAATATTGTTCTACCAATAAATTTGTTAAATGAGTTTATTTTTAAATGTATTCATGTTTTCATATACGTTTCAATTCAATAACCTTTTTTTGTTATAAAAAGTAACATAAATTAACAGAACCTAAAGATTGGAAACATAGATGGAACCAGGCAACAATCTGAAGATTAACACAAAGCAAAAACAAAAATTCTGTTTGGGCCATTTTAATGTGTGTAAGTAGTCTTGTAAATTAAATTTTATGTTTCTTGATAGTCAAATTTTATTGTTTTTATAAGCCAATTTATTTAATTCGATTCGTTTATTTATTTGTAATGGAGATGTAATGGGACAGAATCTGTTAAAAGATAGATATTCGGCTAGCTATGTCCATCGCGATTAGTTGAACATGGCCCATTTATCTGCCATACGTGATACTGTAGGGTTACGAAAAAAATATAATATGGATAATATACCTGAGCAATCACTGGCAGAGTTTTTCATCACAAACTAAGTCACTCGCGTTAATGCACGTAATAACAATGGTTTATTTATCAAACAATAAGATCTGATATTAGTAGATAGATAAATTGGGTTTTAATGATTCTAACACGGACAAGAACCGGTTAAATTCAAGTGGAATGCAAAGGGAATCACTCTTTGAAGTCCGAAAATTTACAGCTTTTTAGTTAGATAATGCTCGTGATTTAAATTAAAAATTTTGCAGCCACACGGATTTATGTGTTAGTAGTCCATAGGTTCCTATGAATGAAAGAGGAGGAAGTAATTTTCATTAATTCTTATTAATAAATTTTAAAATGAGCTCTGTTCAGCATTTCATCAGACTTTTAATTATAACTAAAATATTCCTTGCTATGTGTAGATTATTTGAAAACCTACTTCACTGTCGAATAATAAGCCTATCCACCAGAATTGTTAATAAACAAGATATTAAAGAAAATACCCACTCTCATAATATATTGCATTTAATATCTTCCATGTTATATTTCTATTTCTTCTCTTTGTGAATTATTCTTATGGAGCAAATAGTTGATATATAAATTACATATCTTAGGTATTATATTTTATCACAAAACATTTTTTTTTATCTTATTTTTTCTGTTTCAGTTAATGTTTTTGTTAATATTTCAGAGGGCAATTTTTTCTTTGAAAACTCCAAGCGATGGCTATACTTCCTTCAAATGAGCGGTATGTATGGGGTTACAACTAAAGGGCTTGAAGAAGTTTACAACCAGCCAGAAGTAAAAAATCTCATCGCTTCATCGGAGGTCTTTGACGCTGTCATCACAGAGACGTGCTTTTTTCAAGAGGCCAACGCAGCTCTGCACCACAGATTCAATGCTGTCGGCATCGAGATCTGTTGCTTTGGAGAACGATCCTGGATCAACAGCTTAACTGGGCTTTCAGACAATACAGCCTACATGATAGACAGCAGGTAACCATTCATATTATTTTATTCAATTTCATTATATTTATAAAATATGTTAATTATAAAACTAAATTGAATTTCCATAGGTCCCCATACACGGATAACATGTCTCTGCTAGAAAGAATCCACAACAGCTTCATTACCCTTTCGCTTTCTTTGACCAGCCTGTTCTACCTATCTCGAATGGAAGGGGTTGCGAAGAGGTCGCTGAAATACAACGGTAGCGAAGATCGACCACCGTTGGGTCACATCATGGCCAACTTCAGCATGATCTTGGTACACAGTAATCCAGCCTTAAGCTATCCGTATCCAACTTCACCTCACGTCAAAAAGATTGGAGGAGTCATAATAGAAAAGAATTCTAAACCCGTTCCAAAGGTACTTTTAATTTACTTTTTTTAGAATTAGTTTGACACATGCTCTGTAAACTTTCCTTAATTGATCAAATCTTCCGTGGATATTTTCCGCTGAAAAATAGGTTGAACCATTTCATTAATCCCATAAGTGTAATTTAATGAAGCAATTTACTCAAGTTTATCCAACCCTATCACTTTCCCACCGACATTATTGTGATTATATAACTTGAAGTCAATTATCAATAGATGCCTTAGGCACATCCATTCCCGTCTTATTTTATTTTGAAGTAAACCTGCCAGTTTATATCAAAACTGTAAATAAATTATTGATGTTGTTTTAAATTACAACAAAATTGGCAGTATATTTCTTTTTATTTTCGTTGCCATTCAAAACCATGCAGATCTTTTGCCGCTTTAATGAGCCTTCTTCACCTCTGCCTAACACGGACTATTTCTTTCTAGTTATGTGTATGCAGCTATATTGCATTCTTGTTAATTCGATTTATCCATCTGGTTTTTAGTCATCCACACAGTTTCTTATCAACTATTGCAGTATTAATTGTTGTGTAGAGCCTTTCTGATGATTGCTTCGAGTTACTTACCCCGTCCATCTTAACCTTGCCTTCATGTCATGAGATATTGATTATCAGTTTCATTAAATACTTTTTAATTGGATCTTCTCCTCTATGCTCATAAAATTCAACTAACTAACTCCATGACACTATAGACCGGTGTGGCCCTGTGCCACCTCAATGAGCCCTCGCCAGATGGCTCTATCTTGCTCAGTCGCACACCAGTTTCGGGTATGTAATACTTCTCTGACGTCCCGGATGACGGCTTCCTCATATCTTAGACGTGGTCTGCCTTTCCCTCTTGTCTTGCAGAGTTTACCATGAAGCAACTTCCTTAGGACTTCCTCTTCTGACATTCTCGCCACATGGCCAGTCCAACGTAGTCGCCCAAGCTTGATGCACTTCAACACATCTGTCTCCCCATACAGATCATATAGAGATGGTCCTCCTTCTCCAATCATCACCGACCTAAACAGGTCCAATTATACACCAAAGGATCTTCTTTTCAAATATTATCAAATATTTTTCTTCTTTGCTGGAGAGGGTCCAGCTTTCCGATTTATATGGGAGAACAGGCCTAATGAGGATCTTTTATAAGAGGCATTTTTTATGACGGGAAATAGCAGAGCATCCAAGGTGTTTGCTGAGGTCAAAATAGCACCTGTTTGCCCTGATTATTCTCTGGTTGACCTCCAGGAATATTCTATTTCCACAGCATACAATAGCTCCCAGATAGATAAACTGGTCTACATTTTGGATCGTAAATGGACCCATAACCACTGGTACTCGTACTGCGGTCTCTGTTTCAGGTCCTGCTCACATATATATTGTCTTCTCCTGGCTTACCCTCATACCCAAAGCTTCTGCCGCTTCAGACAACCTTAAAAATACACTTTTAAGAGACTCGAAGGTACGTGCCATCAGATCTACATTGTCAGTAAATGCCAGTATTTGCGTTAATCTGTTAAAGATAGTGGTAACATAACATCTAGTTTTCGATAAAAATCGAAATAACAAGCCTCTATATACATTGAATGTATTCTGAAAACATCCTCATTAGCTAGATCATAACGCCCTACTTGGAAGTAATACCTGAAAATTATTCCAGCAAAGTTGGACTTTACGACAACTGGAAAAATTTTCCAAAATAATCTCTTTATTCAAATATCGAATATTAAACCAAAAACAAAACTGTAACAAGATAAACACCTCATTATGCTATGTATTGTAAAGACCGCCGGTGGAATAATTATTTTAAAGGTATAAATAAATATCATAAGTGTTCACATCTGGCGGTACCTGACTGAGGGTAACGACCCATTAGGACAACCTTTTGTAAGTGGTAATAAAAACCCTTAAGAACCACCGACCAAGACCGACAACTAAGTGCTTAAACAGGATCCCGAAAGACCTTTTCACACCTTCCACCAGAAATACCTAAGTCTGTATCTGCTGCTTTACCTTGGCCTAGGGGAGAGGGCGTGGTCATTCCATAGGCTGAGAATATTCAGCCAACCAGGAAAAAGACTACCAAAAGAGAGGGGGATGAAAAAAGGTGGGAAATAGAGAATTGTGACTGGACACTTCTTCTTGGGACGCAGCTGAGAAGACTTCTTCTTGGGACGCAGCTGAGAGCACTTCCTCTTGGGACTCGGCGGAGGAGAGCTGGGACACAGGCTGAGACTGGATCAGGAGAAGCGGAGAGAGGAAGACGAAGACAGCCGGAGAGAGCTGATGGACGGACTAGACGCTGAAGGAGAGCAGAGACAGGGAATCCAGATATGACGGCTAGAAACACTATGAAGGACCAGCTAAGTGGTAACAAGCATTTAGTTATACTAATGTAAATTTGTGTTGGCAACCATACATTGTTAATTAATATAATCAATATAACACGTAACTTTAATCAAATATCAAGCATTCTCCTCTAGTATGATTCGCAAGTAATATTATGTATATAGGTTTAGTTATTATTTTGTATATAGATGTTTTTGGTTTTATTTAAGCTTGTAAATATAATAGTTAATAAACCAACGTAGTACTTTTACCATCTACCTTGCATGCCACCAACTAGATAAAGAACAAATAGTAAATTTAAAAACATGATACCTTTAGAAAGGAAATCCAATAAAAATTATATGGTTCAATCTAGGATACTACAGTAGGGGGTCTGTGGTACCTAACCTTTTAATACAGAATTAATATATTTTTCGGTAGATCGGTTCCCTTCTGGGACCGATATAAATACAAATATAATTATTAAATACAAATAAATGCGATTCCAGGAACCCCTTACTCGCCGTAGAAACGCGAGGCCAGGAACATAGCAATTACAAGTAAAGTAAATATCACTTTCTATTTAGATTTGTTAAGGTTTTAATTTTCGTTTATACAATTGATAATAAAATCTTTGTTTTAGAAGACTATTATTTTATTTTCGAAATGCTTAGTAAATGATACTGACACCTTCGAATATAGTCAAGTAGTTCTAGATGAGCGCTCATGACCCGCTCGGGTCGATGCGGAATGTAACAATAAATAAATAAATAAAGTAATTCTAGAAGACAAATTGTTCCTTTGAAATATATGGCAAAAACAACATTTTTAAACATTGTTTATTTTAATTAGTTCAGAACTTTACGTTACCTATGTTATAATGTTATTTAAGTAAAAAAATATAAATCAAAAATAGAACTTTGAACCCGAAAGACTGGAATCCATACCGATGTATCCTATTTGAATATGCAGCGTCATTGTGCATTTTCTTTTGATTTTGATTCGGTCTGAAGTTGTTTTATGATGCTATACTAAAAGCAAAGGGAATTTCAGACCTTCAGCAGAAAGGACTATGCTGGACCACATTGGGAGGGATTGGGTAATTATAAGGAATAATATTATAGGTAGTTATAAGTAATAAAATTAACTGTCAAGAAGTTTTATTATTTTTATTTAAAATGCTATACTGCATAATCCGCTCAATAATTAAAGAACTTTTAGTTATTTATATATAACTGTATATATTTATATTCATTTATAGTTTTACTACCAATTTAATCATGTATTTTAATTAATTTTCTCACAGTAAAATATTAATTTTACATGATCATAAGTGCAGAAAATAATTCCAGCTCCTTCAAAACTTCCTGGATAGTGCGCAAAATGGAGTCATATACATGTCCCTTGGAACTAATCTGGCTGTAGTATCAGAGAGCAGTGATTTGGCGAGTACTTTGATGAAGGTATTCGGTAGCCTGAAACAGAGAGTATTGATAAAGTGGGACTCCGAATACCCAGTAGACCGGATACCACCGAACGTCATGATTTCTTCTTGGTTTCCTCAGCAACAGATACTAGGTAAGTAATTAGATTATAAAAATAACAATAATTTTCTTTGATCTGCAAATAATCATATCCATACACCTACCTTTGAATATCTGCTTTTAAATCTATCTTCTCGAACAGGTAACAAATCCATTAACAAATAACAAACTTTAACGATATAGTATTTATTGTATAAGATTTTACGTTAATTTTTTTTAACTGGATTCCAAAGCTAACAACAATTTCATGTCATGTCAAGGCTTTTAATTTTATTAGAAAATTCTTCAATGCGAATATCTCTTCAACCGAACTCCTGTATCATCTCAGCCGGGTATTCTCACCGCATCATTCTCCGACAGTCCATTCCCAGCTATCTACCACTCAATCCTTTCATAAAACAGAGAATTTTCCTCTCCTTCTTCTACTTTCAATATCCTAATCCATAATCAGTTTCTAATCAATCTCCTAATAACTAATCAATTATCTTTTTATCGTTCATCCGTTTCAAGTAGCTATCGTATCATCTGGATTTTCTTTCTTCCATCACCTTTTTGTTTTAATTCCAATTTCACTCCTATGTTCCTGACCCTTTCGAACCATTCCCTCATTCAGTAATCGTCTAAGTATATTTTATTAAAATTAATAGAGTGAAGGACATACATCATCCTTGTAGTAATAGTAAAATAATTGAGCGTTTTTTTTTTTTTTACATCTATTATTTCTTTAATTCGACTCAGAATTTCGTTGTCAATGCCAGCATTCGACAAGGATTCCATAGCAGCTTACATGATTTACGATCATATGATTTTTCTAGTTTTTTAAGGCTTTAGTTTAGACTTAGAAAAATTCTATATCAATATTCGATATAACTTAATTTTACACTAGTATGAACTAAGAGTAAAATTATGGATACACTTTTGTAATAATATTTAGTAAAATGAGCAAAACATTTTAGCCCACAATCGAACAGTGCTATTCATAACTCACGGTGGATACTCCAGTTTATACGAAGCAGCATATTTTGGTGTCCCGATCATAGGAATTCCATATTTTGGGGACCAGCCGAAAAATATCATGGCAGCTGTCGCTGCAGGCTTCTGCGTCAAGTTGGATCATGACAATGTCACTGAAGATTCTCTGACTTGGGCAATCAAAGAGATATTGAACATTAAAAGGTAATGTCACTAGAAAATACATAATTACTTGATTTTAATTGAAAATAAATATTATAAAGAATAATCAACAAAATAAGATTTTTTTATAATAATAGATATCATAGTTTTTACAGTGATATTGGTATACATTTATTTATTTTCATTCATAAACTTAAATATTAACAAACATCGATCTTCCAGGTACAAAGAAGAAGCCGAAAGAAGATCTTCTATGTTGAGGGACACACAAAATTCACCGGTGGATGAGGCTGTGTTTTGGATCGAGCACGCTATCAAATATCCAAACGCCCTGACTCCGCGATCAGCATATATGTCCTTCGTTGTAGTTAATTTGATTGATATTAAAATTATTTTACTTATCGTCATTTTAAGTTTGTATTACATGGCTCGGAAGTTCTTTGGTTGCAACAATTACAAAATTCGAGCAAAAAAAGAAAAACCATTATGAATCTATCGTTGTAAGCGATGGAACGAAGCAATGTAAATAAATATTTATTTATTTATTTATTTGTTTTTTATTGTTGCCTCTACCCTGCAGGGTCATTGGCAACACTTCCTATTTATATTCTATTGTAGAATTTTATTTTTTTTAAAAACTGTAAGGTTTTTTCCACGGCGTTTTCGTTGTCGCTGAGGTTATCTTTTAGGCTCTGAGCCATATTGAGATTTTTCCTTACATTCTCAAATACTGGGCAGTCTTGAATGATGTGTTGGACAGTTCTTTGCACCTTACAGCTTTCGCAGGTCGGTGGGTCTAGTCCTCTTAGTAAGTAGGAATGTGAAAATTCGCAATGCCCAATTCTTAAGCGGCAGAGGACTGTCTCTTCTTTTCTAGAGAGTCGGTTGCTAGTTTTCCATTTGGAACAGTGGCTTTTTATTCCTTTTAATTTGGTTTCTTTTTGTTGCCATACGTTCTGCCACATTACCCGCAATTTTTTTTTTATATGATGTATGAAATCTTCTATCGGGATTTCTTTGATTATAACTGTTGGATTTGTATCTAGCCTTCTCGCCATATTTGCTGCTTTGTCTGCCTGTTCATTTCCGACAATTCCGCAGTGTGAAGGAACCCACATGAATACTATTTCCTTTCCCTTTTCTGTCAGTTTCCACCAGATATTTTTAATCGATCTTGCCAGTGTAGTTGTTGGTGTTCTCTTTTCAATGGCCAGGATTGCGCTCTTTGAATCGGTTACCACGACCCATTTGTTACCCTCCGTTGAATCAATGTATGTCAAAGCTTCTCTAATAGCGATCATCTCTCCACTAAATACAGAGCAGATCTCCGGAAGTTTGAAATACTTTTCTATTTGAGAGTTGACAATAGCACATCCTATTTCGTCGTTTACTTTTGAAGCATCAGTATAAATGATATTACATTTTTTATGCTTCTCCATTATTTCCAGAAATAGGGTTTGTGCTTCGATAGGAAGTAGCGTATCTTTTCGAGAGCCAGCCATCGAGTTCTCTATAACTGGCGAGGTATGGATCCAAGGGGGGATAATAATGTCCGGCACGTCCAAAAGAGATTCTAACTTTGATTCTGAGACATTTTCAAGAAATGTTTCTACGAAATGCTTTCCCCAGCTGTTTTCTGATTCTTCCTGAAACAGTATTTTATTTAATGTATGTTTTGGGCGTATCTTAATTTTGAGACCGTACTTTAGGGTTAGATACAACCTTCTCAGTTAGAGAGGAGGTTCATCTGCTTCAACATACAGGCTTTCTACTGGTGAGGTTGCCAATGCTCCAGTGCAAATTCTTAAAGCACAATTGTGTACAACATCTAACATCATTAAAGTTTTCTTTGATGCTGTACCGTAAACACTTGAGCCATAATCTAGTTTGCTTTTGATGGTTGTGCAATATATATTTAAGAGGCTTTTCCTATCCGCTCCCCAGTTCGTATGGGATAGACTTTTGAGGAGGGCGATCCTTTTCAGACACTGTTCTTTAAGTATTTTTATGTGCAGTGTCCATCGAAGCGGTCGATCTAAGTGCATCCCTAGATATTTCAGATTATCAACAAATGTGATTCCGACACCTTTCATCTGTATTCTTGGATTGAATGTACAACCTCTTAGCCTGCAAAAGTGCATGGCTCTGGTTTTGTTAGCTGACAGTTTGAAACCACACTCTGTCGACCATGATTCTATGTTGTCAAGGGCTTCTTGGATTTTCCATTCTATAAATTTAATGGATTTGCTTTGTACATAGAGCAATATGTCGTCTGCGTACATAATAAGTTTTGCTGGTCTAACAAAAACTCCTGCAATGTCGTTTATCGCGACCTGGAAAAGGGTTGCACTGAGTGGGGAGCCTTGGGGAGTACCATTCTCCGTCGTGTATACTGTAGATTCTGAAGAACCAACCCTAACAGTGAATGTTCTATGCTTGAGAAAATCCTTAATGTATTTCCACATCTTCCCTTCAATATTCCATCTTCTTAGCACGTCCAAGACTCGCCATCTCCACATGGTATCATAAGCTTTTTCAATATCTAAGAATATAGCAATGAGATGTTGTTTCCTTTGAAAAGCTTCTTCCGCGTCCCATTTTAATATTTGGATTGGGTCCATAGTGGAATGGTGTTCTCTAAAACCAAATTGGTTCGGCGTGAGGAGTTTTCTCTGTTTTATTATTTCAGCAAGTCTCTGGTTTACTAACTTTTCTTGAATTTTGCTTACACATGAAAGGAGTGAGATCGGGCGAAAGTTTGATACAAGGGAGTTTTTTTCATTCTTCGGTATTGGTATGATTAGTGAGTGTCTCCAAATCTGCGGGAGATAACCGCGATCCCAAACTTGGTTATACAATTGCAGTAGGACCTGTTTTCCTTTATCAGGCAAGTTATATATCATTTCATAGGATATGCCGTCGCTGCCCACTGCTGACCCTTTTGGATGCTTTTGGAGTATATATTCCACTTCTTGTTTCCCAAATGGAGTATTATAGTTACTCTCATCTCCGTGGCATTCATTTGGTTCATCTTCCCAATTCGACAGTCCTTGAATGTTAGTGGAGGATACCTGATGGAAATGTTTTGCTAGTTCTTCAGCAATTTCGTCTGTAGGAGTAATTATTCTTTGGCCAATCCTTAAACCAGATAGCTTTGTCGGATTAGGAATTCCCCTTATGCTTCTAATTTTATTCCATAGTTCCTTTGTTGAAGTATAATGGTTTATTGAAGAAACAAAATCCCTCCACGATGCCCTTTTACTCTCTTTGATTGTCCTATTTGCTATGGCTCTTAATCTTTTAAACTCTATAGCATCGCGTAGAGTTCTGCTTTTTCTGTACTTATTGAGAGCACGTTTCTTGGATTTAACAGCTTCTTGACAATTTTTATTCCACCAGGGGACTGTTGTGCGAGTCGATATTCTTGACACAAATGGGATTGTTTCATGAGCAGCCTCTAGTATTGCTTGGTTAAAACTGCTAATATTAAGATCAATATTGTTTTGATCTTCATATACTTCTTCAAAGTAGTTTTTTACTTTTTCTTGGAACGCTGTCCAATCAGCCTTCCGGTATTGCCAATGACGGTTCTTCCTTTGAGATATCTCACATCTCATCGTTAGGAGAATTGGGAAGTGATCGCTTCCGTAAAGGTGTTGCTTCGTTTTCCATCTAATTTTCGGTGCCAGCCCAACATCAGCGAAAGTGAGGTCGATTGAGGAAAACGTATTGCTTTTCGAGCAAAAATGTGTGTCTTCCCCCGTGTTCAGGAGAGTGATTATCGGGTCATTCTCTAAAACGCTTTTTATTTTTTTACCCCTATGTCCAAAATCAGCTAATTTTGAGCCCCAGGCTATATCATTAGCGTTGAAGTCACCCAATAAGAGGTAGGGTCTGGGTAGTTGTTCAACAATTAGCTGAATGTCGTTGGTTGTGAACGGTTCCGCTGGTGGGATATAAATGTTACAAATGGTAATTGGTTTATTCTGATAGATTCTGATAGCTAATGCTTCTAAATGTGTGTTTAGAGGTATTTCTTCAACAAATATATCATTTCTTACAAATGTTCCCACTCCTCCCCAAGACTTTAAGGATCCTTTTCTATCGTTTCGGTAAACATTATACTCTTTTATTCTTACTGTTTGGGTTTCATTAAAGTGAGTTTCTTGAAGGCAGAAACATATTGGATTCTCTTCTTCAATCAACTTCTTTAAATATTCTATGTGACGGAAGAATCCGTTACAATTCCACTGGATTATTGTGTTCATTTAGATTTGGAGAATTTTGCTTTTTTTCTAGGTTGCTACATTTACCATGTGATATCTCTAAAAGTTCATTGTTGCAACTTGTTGGGTTCTTCATGTATTGTTCGCTAAGATATTTGATGAGTTTAGATATTCTCATCTTTATTCCTCTATGTGTGGTTAAGTCCCTCACATCTGAAAGCAGTTGCTTCAAGCCATTTACGTCATTTGTAAATTGTATTACGATATCGTTAGCGTTTACTTGGTTTTCTCCCTGAGTCATGTCCAATAGTAAGCATAGTTTCTCAAAAGTTAGGGGATAAGTGCGTTTTTTCTGTGTGATTTTGTTTCTGATTGGTTCAAGTATGTACGTAGAAGGGTATTTGTTTTTTTGTGTTTTGCAATTAGAATCTTCTTTGTTTTTTTGTCCATTCGAAGTGGCAGCGGTCCCAGCTTGTAAACATTGTTGTTTTTTACTGCCCCTATTGTTAAGGGGAATATTTGTCTTGGTTTTTGAAACTTTGCTAAGGGGAACTATGTTTACATTGTTCTGTTACATTTTATCACTATTTATTGATTGATTATTTAGAGAAATTTTTTCATATCCCTTTGTCATAGTTTTATTTGCAAGTAATTTTAAAATTTACTCATGTTCATTTATTCCCCTATAAATTAGTTTCCTTCTGACTGCTATTCCGTTAACGGGATATTATTAAATATGTAACCATTAAGCATTTTGGAATCCATCGATTCAGATGTTAAGTATTAGAACAGATGTCCTAAATGATAAACTTGAGCTTGGATTGTCTATTTTTTTTTTTAAATTTTGAAAATGAGATTTCGAAATAGGATATTGCTCAGCGTGCTACTGAGCCAAGAAAAGGCTGTATGAAGTAAAATGATACTTAGCTGCCATCTTCAAGCTCATAAAATCACTCTGAAATTTACGAATTTCTAAAATATATAAATATAATCTGAAATAATATGAATCACTGGTTATCACGTAAATTGATTTCAAACTTTTTGTGCTTTATATTATTATACTAACTTTTAATGGTAACATTTGTAAAATATACAGAAAACAAATCTTGATTACGTATGTTTGTTATGTATGTTAAAGTCTACAGTTTTCTTGAAAAATTACCCAGTAAATACTTACTTCATCGGTATTTTAAAAGATGAAAATTTCCTAAAGTGACGAAATCTATTTACATTAAAATGGTAACAAATACTTAAAATAGTTTAAATAAACAATTTTTATTATCTTAAATTATTTTCCTTTTTACTGATGTTTCGTTAACACTGAACAAACAAAAATATATATAAATGCATGAAGATATACGTGGAGGAGCCCGAAATATAAATTCAATAAATAAAAATCATTAGCACTATTAAATTAAAAGAATGCATATTTTTTTTATTAATTTTTAATTTTGAAATTACAAATTGACTAATTTATAGTAATATGAATATTCGGAATGGAAAGGGGCTACTTATTTAGAAAAGAAAAAAATTGTACAGATTTACTCTTAAAACTTGGAGCAGAATTAAATCCCCTCCTTTCCATTATTGCTATTAGTAACCTAGGGATTTGGATGTTGCTGCAGGAAAATGGAAGTGATGGATGGATCAGCTATTATAAAATATTTCTTCTTTTTTTTCAACCTCTTGTTATGGATGATTTTTCGACGTCCCGGTCTGTGTTCAGCACACTAATGTATGTGAACAACAAAATTTTATCATGAAGTACTAAAACAAAAATACGCTCATAATAATATAAGGCAAATTACATAAATTATTCATAACTCCTTAGGATTTTCTTCAAATTCAATGTTAATACGACTGAAGCTGGATTAATGCCATTCAAACCTGTATGAATAATGTTTAGAATTTATTTTCACTTTATTTATCCCTTAAAATATTCGTAAATCATGCAATTATCGTCTTTCCTGGAAACCTTAATATTATTAAGGTTTGCAGAGTCTTGACTCAGTACATCATATAAATCTGTTTTTTGTGAAGTTTATAATAAAAATTATAAAATTTTATTTAATTAAAAATTAAAATTTCATGTAGTTTTCATGAAAACATTTATTTTCCATTTGTTAACATCAAAATTGGCACTCACAACCAGTACCAAGTGTGGTTTTCACTTACCAATAACTTTGACAACTTTTCTTCATAAATATTGTTGTGAAATATAATTATTTCAAACAAACCAAATCAAAAATAATTAAAAGAAAGACTATTTTGAAAATTTGACATTTAAGTCCTTACCACAAAGCTAAAGGTTCCCTGGTAAAGGTTGATATCATGTAATTTTTATTGGATGCGAATAGAATAGGTATATATAATAAAGGAAAATATTGCGATCGTGAAAATTTTCAAATCTCAATTTTCAACGGAAATGCACATTTTGAGGTCCTCAAAGTCCAAATAGCCAAGTCCCGCAAAATAGTCTGTCTGTATGTGTTAACAGTCTATCTAGAGGAGAGGTCTGATGTTGAGTGCCGTCTAGGAGAAGAGTCTGATGTTTTCTTCTGGCTGGGGGGAACTGAAGCTCTTGGCCCTACATGAACCATGACCAGATGATCTCGACTTCGCAGATGCAGCGATGACATCTACCAAATACACCACTTCACATACCGTAATAGCTAAGTTGTAATTTCTAATCATAATGTTATAAAATATTTCATGGCAATACAAATTTCAAAACAGTCCATCTGAAATCATGCCTTCACAACCAATTATTGAATTCATTAATTCTTGTAAATATAATGTATATATATTCTTTATTAAATATAGAAATAAAATAAGTTTGTAAATAAAAGTTATTTTAATCATGCCACCTATTTAAATCATTATAATCACAGGGAACGTTTGGTAATTAGAAAGTACGATAAACACACACCAGCCTTTGTGAAAACAAGTCCATTTAATTAATCATGGACCAGATATGTTAAAGAACATAATTTTTTTAGCTAATATTTTATTAATTACTTCTTATTAAATAATTCTGGACAATTATCCTCAATAATTATTCAGTGGCATCCCGATAAAGCAAAGGGGAACATATCAACCTACTCTGGAACCAACATACTCACTGTCTGTGATTTGTGATATAGATAACTTTTTCTACTAGAAATATCACTAAAATGACGTTACCCAAAAATGTTGAATTTGAAGTTACTCTATCTGTTAACTGAAAGGCTGAAAGTTAACTGAAATTATGTGGTTTATAA